GGGGCAGCAGCGCGCAGGCGCGGGGCATGGGGGCCCGCGCCGAGGACGAGGCCGCTCAGGAGATGGCAGACCTGCCACGGAAAGAAGGAGGAAGGGAAACCGGGTCAGTGTGCAACCTGGAAAAGCCTCCGGGTGTCCGGGGCCACGCTGCCATCCGGTAGTCTCTCTGGACTCCCCCCCCCCACCCCGCCGCCCCCCAAGCAATCAGATGCTCCCTCCCATCTCCTCTCCATTAGGGACGGACAACAGCAGTTGCCCATCCTCTGTGGGCTCACTTTACAGATGAGAACACAGAGGCCCAGAGAGGTTATACAAGTCACCCAAGGCGCACAGGACAGGGACACCACCCCCCTCCATCGGCCTCAGTATCTAGTGTCCATGACTCCTTCATAGGCTGATTGACCTTGAAACACAGTACTTCGTGATGAAAAGAAATGTGGGTGCAAAGTATCTTAACAGGTGGCAAAGAGCCAGGCACAGTGCAACCAGCTCACTCTTGGGAGGCTGAGTCAGGAGGATCGTAGTTAGAGACCAGCCCAGGCAACAGAAGTGTGTGAGGACTTCCCCCCCCCACACACACACACTGTGATCAATAAAAAGCTGGGCATGGTGGTGTGCATCTGTCACCCCAGCTATATTACAAGCATAAATAGGAGGATCGAAGTCCAGACTGGCCCTGGAGAAAAAGCAAGACACCATCTCAAAATATAACCAGAAGCTAAAGAGCTGCAGGCTGTGCCTGCACGGATGGAGTTCCTGCTCAGCCAGTGCTAGGATCTGAGTTCTAGCTACTTTAGAAGGCTGAGATCTGAAGACTGCAGTTCAAAGCCAGCCCAGGCAGGAAAGTCCATGAGACTCTCATTCACAACTACCTAAAAGATGGAAGGGGGGCCGCAGCTCCTGTGATAGAGCTCCAGCCTTAAAAAAGCAAAGGGAGGGGCTGGGAAGGTGCCTGAGGCCCTGGGTTCGATTCCTCAGCACCACATAAGCAAAAAGAAAAAAGCCGGAAGTGGTGCTGTGGCTCAAGTGGTAGAGCGCTAGCCTTGAGCTGAAGAGCTGAGGGACAGCGCCCAGGCCCAGAGTTCAGGCCTCATGAGCGGACCCCCCCCCAAAAAAAAAAAGCAAAGGGACAGTGCCCAGGCCCCAGTATTGGCCCACGCACACACGTGTGCATGCACGTACACACACGCACACACCAAACAGCAAAGGCTTTAAACATGATGTTTTTAACTTCCCCTTTTTCTCCTCGGGTCCCTGATGGTTCTTAATCTGCTTGTTCCAGGACGGCTCTGGACTCAGAGCCTGGCCGCCATGGTGTGGCCTCATCCCCAGGGGTATGATGTGAAATTATGGAGACGAAGGGAAAGTGGAAGCCTTCCCAGGCCGCTGCCTCAGTTTACCCCTGTGATCATGACCCTGCCCTGCCCGAACAACCAGGAGTGCTTTGCCAGTCCCCTTGCTGGGGCCGGGGTCAGAGGCCAGCCCTCCAGTTACCCAGACGCTGGGCCGTCACAGCCCAGCCCAGCCCCAAGCCCAGCTCCCCCCAGCTCTGGCATCTTTTCTCAGGGCCATGCCAGCACCCAGCTCTCCCTGTCTCCCGCCGCCTGCACGTCTGTGCGCCCCCAGGGCTGGGGCCACAGTGCCACTTAGAGCCCATCCCTTCCACCTCGGGCACAGGAAAATCCTCCCCCTCTCTTCTTCCTGAGGACTAAGTTGGCCTGGAAGTCTGCTCATAACATGGCAGGTAAGTTAGGGACAAAGTGGAGGAGGGCTGGGCCGAGTGTGCTGCCAGCCTTGGGCAGGGCACCTGTGGTTCCATGCCTGGATGGGGTCATCTCCACCCATCAGCCGGGCTCTGCTGTGGTCACCCGAGACACAACAATGGGCGGGAGCAGGTGGATGCCGGTGAGCTGTACAAAATGTGCTCAGTGCATGCTGGTGACTGCATTGGGGTAGGAATCCCAGGGCCTGGACCCCCCACAGCTCAAGGTGAACACCCCCCCCCCTGCACAGGCAAGCGATCACCCAGACTTGCTAAGCTCCCAAGGAGAGAGAAGCCTGGGCGCTCACCCACTGCCTCCTGCTCCTTCCCAGTGTCAGGGGAACAATCACTTGACTACAGCGTTCAGAAAGTCAACACCACTCGTACTGAATATTCATGGGGTTCTTCTGCTTCTAGGAAAACACACAGGAGTGGGGAGGCTGAGCCCCGTTTCTCCTCCTGTGGGTTCAGGTCTCCCTCGGAGGGCGCCAGGGCCGGGGATGAGAGGCTCTGGCCCTCGGCCTCTCCCAGCCCCTCTCCCCTCGAGGCTGTCTCCTCTGGAGGGAAGGGGAGAGAATCCTCTCTCGCTTTGCACAGAGCTTCAGGATTCCTGACACTCAGGTGTGAAACTCAGCCGTGATAACACACGTGGCACTTTTAGGAAAAGGGTTTTTCCAGCTGCAGCATGGCTCCAGCCTCACACACAGAGGAGGCGAGTTCCTGCCAGCCGCCCTGGCCATTTGGGTTGAAGTTCAAGGAAATGCAGACACAGAAAGCAATGGGGGTGGGTGAGGAGGAGGGGCCCAGCCGTCCATCCCCCCCACCCCACCCAGCCAGAGACAAACACAGCCAGAAGCCCAGAAACATCAGCCAGCCCTAGGCCAGGCCTTCTACCTGCCTGTCAGTCACTTGTAGCAGGCCCTCCTTCCAGACAGGGGTTTGTTTACAAAAACTCAGCCATTATATTGACCGGGAAATTTCAAACACACATCCAAATCCCCTGGCCCCAACTCCCAGCCCTGAAAGCGGAGAAGAAGAGAAGAAAGGAGGGGGACACCGGGCCCCCAGCTGTGCTCAGGGGGCCACAGTAACTTCTGGTTTCCTTCATCCACCTGGCTCATTTGCAGCTTTTAGTCTTGTCCCTGTCTCGGAAGGGGACACTAACAGAGTGTGCAAGCTCAGGTCTGCAAGGGGGGCTGGCTCCGGGAAAGAGGGTTCGCATGCAAGGCCAATCTAGGATGGCTTCCCACAGGATGGACTCCTAGGAGGGGGGGCTCAGCTTGTCCACTTCACTCAGCTCCACGACCAGCTCGGAGCTGCTCAGGGCCAGAGTCGTGCTCAGCCCCACACGGGGGAGGCCAGGCCCCTCACCAGACGCCCCAGGACCAGCGCAGCACAATACAGGCCGCCCTCTCCGCGGGGAGCCAGCCCTGCCCTCCTCCCCTGGGAAAGCAGATGGTGACCCCTGGTGGGGAGGGGGGGGCCCGAGGTTGGGGTGCGTGGGGATGAGGCCCGGGCAGGTGAGAGTCGCACTGAAAAGTGGGCGGGCAAGTAACGATGTGTGTGTGGGGGTAACGCACGGGACATGTGGAGGTGGAGGAAGGCGAGGGGGAGGACGAGAGGCTGGA